TTGCAAAAACACGCTCGAATAGAAAAAAGACAGACAAAAATCAGTTCGCCCTAAGCGAAGCCTCCAAATTTCTCAGCGTAACGCCGATTTTGTTGGGCAGATAATTTCAACTAAAAGTCGTAAATTGCATACTACTTTGTGGGCAATTTGTACACAAATGAGATCCTATTCCTATGACCAAGCTCTTGGTACAAACTTGTGCCAAATCCCTTCACCTAAAGTGGCACAACAACTGGCGTAACCTTCGCCGGCAGCGGGCTTAAATTATCTAACAGAACCCGAAAGGTTCGATTGAAATATGACGCCCCTGGTCGCGATATTGTTGATCCTCTGTATATGGTCGCGTCCACTTACGCAACGTTCAATTCATTTGTGCTCATATATGGACTAATTAAGGACACCGGCCAGTCTTTCGCAAAGCGCCCATAGTCTTTGTGTGCGCTGGAAAAATCTTCGTCAAGTTGCAGCATTTTTCAAATTTGATTTGAGAAAAATGTTCTGGGCAGGGCAGGTATCTGGAGGTGATTGAATTCGCATAATTATCGCCTGCACAATAGACTGATGATAACTCATCCGCGATCAAAGTTCCTGCATAATCTATAATTAAAGACCTCCTCGGTCCATGAACGCTTTATTTATCACGAACATCCGTCCCTCGGCGCCGTATTGCCAGTCTTCCAGTACGGGATTCATGATTTTCTTCAGGGTGTCTGGCCTCTTTTCTCACAAATGCCATCAGCCAAAACGCCAGACATTAACATAAACGGAGAATGTTTTTTTTCGTCTAACGTGTTGTTTTATGCGCCGTTTCGCCCATAAAGATGCAGCCAAGTGACCGCGACAGACCACACACAGATCAGAAAATTCCCTATTAGATTGCGGTAAAGCACTCGGGCCTTTGAAGAGGTTTGAATGGATGGGAAAGTTAACAAAAACCCCCCTAGATGCTGCCCTGAAGCAGGCAAAACCAGTAGTCCCATGCCAAGCAGTTCGCTGGGCAAAAGATTAGGAAAACGACAGTAAATAATGAACGTTTGCAGCAAATAGCTTGATATCAAGGAAATTCCCACATTGGCACGAAAAGCCCGACGATCAGGCCAAAGGCAGATGGGCCAAAAGGCTGCGAAACTTCAAAGCCCCGTTAAAATTCCTTTCTTTGCCATTCGTAATCCCTTGATGCTGAAGAATGGCACGCATCAGCCTCAGGTCTTTAACCTGGTTCCAGGAACCCTTGCTGTTGCGTCATCGCGAAAGAATTAAACGAAGCTGTCGGCCTTTCATTCATTAAACAACTGCACTTTGGCCGATTGTTTCAACATTACTCGACTCTACGTGCCCGCAGATAAGCCAACAATGAAAAAACAGCATTTGCACATTGCCGAATGATCCAAAAGTTAGAACAAAGCCCGGCTATAATGCGAAGAATTCACTTTTGTTTTCATGATTTCATTGTTTCGCGATGGATGAATCGATGACCAAACTATGCATTATTGATGAGAAACCGCAAGCTTCCAGGGAAATGACTTTGGTGGAATTCTCAATCACCACCAGCAATTGTTCTTGACCAACCATTAACGTCTGCGATTTATTTAACGTAACCCTGATGTTCCTTTAGTTGTTGCATTTTCAGTTGCCACCATCCATTAAAAGTTAACTTTATTCTTATTTTTCTTCGTATCTTCCGTATTCTTGTTTTAATAGCTTTCATAGTTCTTGAGCTAATTGTACCTGTTTGTTCGCCTTAACATGAACCCAAAGGAAAAAGTCAGTTGGTGTCATGTCAGGTGATCTAGGTGGCTCTCTTCCAATCATCTAAGCAATTCCTTACATTTTTACATTTTTTTGCTACCGATTTAGTCAGAAACGTGATTCAAAGTAGGAGCAATTTAGCTTGTCCTGGAAGCTTGTTGAAAGGCCTCCAAGATAGCATATAATATATGGGATGTTCCATGGAAAAAAAATAGTAATCTTTATGAAAAACGCCAACTTCCTGTATAAACGGTATTAGAGGACGAGCCGGATTTTCCAATTTCTTTTACAGACTTTTTCCGTGCCTTGTTTTCGCTTTAAGTGTCTACATCTGGTAAACTATCAACCGCAGACCCAATTTTATCAAAATTATCCTTATTTGCCAGAGAAGCAAATGCGACACATTGATACAGGGTGTCCCATTAAAAAAACATAATTGTGCAACAAAAATGATTTTAATGGATTGCTGCTGTTGATGCCAATCAGCCCTGTGCTGTATCATAAACGCTATTTTTAACGGCCACACGTTATGGCGACTTAATAGTTCAGGATAACATTTTCGATAACACAGCAACACAACCGAGGTGTGCTGTATCTCCGAGTTAACGTATGCGTTTCCGACCCAGTTATCCATCAAACGTTAAAAAGGAAAAAATATAGGATGCATAAAGTGAGATGCCTTTATACGAATAGTCTATTAGTTAGAGAGAGAGTTAACATCAAACCATCGAAGCTTCTAAAATATATGAACGACATGTGCACGTTATTACCATTTGGGTTGCCCACTACCCTACTTGTCTTTGTTTATGATTTACATTCACTTTCAATTTCGTTTGTTATTGTTCTTGACCTATCTTCTCAAACACTTTCAATGGAGCATGTACAGAAGAAGAAAAAAAACAACCCGCAAACAATTTGAAAATTTAGTAGAGTTTGTGGACAAAAATAAAGTTTATTTTCAAGACCATTTACTAATTGTTCTAATAAAGCTAACCTTATGAGACCACCAAAAGACATATTTTCGTTTTAAATTAAAAACTAATTATGCTAAAACACAAAATTACGCTCTGATTAACCACAATTGTTTTATTTATTCCTCCGAGCTGCGAGGGACGCACGTTAAGTTCGATAGCGTCATGTGATTTGATGCTGTTATTCTGAAGCGCTATTTCTTAATATAACGTTCGTCGATAGCGTGCGCACGTTATAATATAAAGGTTTTACTGAGACAACACACCAGTTGGAGCCATATAACGTGTTTGACGGATAACATGCACGTTAAAGTTAACGTGAGTGATACAGCACAGGGCTGAATATCGCTTAAGTCATTTCAAAATTACACACCAGTTAGCAGAAAATCCTTCACCCCGTCGTCGTTGCCCCACCCGGTATACATTAGCTATTAAAACCCCCTAGTAAATAGTAGCAGTAGAGCTGGATACTGAGGAATAAATTCCTACTTTTTGTCGATTTCCACGCGATTAGGCTTCCATTAACATCTACCAAGTGGCTGAAGCAACTGCTGGAAGCTTCAGTGTTACCCAGATAAAACTCTTAAAGGTGTGACGCGATGAAAACATGAAATCCACATAATCATCATGAGCTAGCGCCTGGCGACTAATTAGGCATTGGGGTTAAGGTTGCCGACATTGCACAACAATAATGATTATCAGGTTCCTTGATTGGTTCCACCCACAATTATCGCTTCACCAGTATGGTTGTTTGTCGTCGGTAGCGCGATTTAATTGAACTGAGCGGATATTGGCCATTTAAACCATAAAAAGCTCACCTGGATGACTTCTTGAAGAGCGGCAACGTACACAGTTTCGGTGTCGAGCACTTCTTGCAGGACGCGTTGCTCGGGATTGATGGATTGCGGTTCCTGTTCGGCAATGCCGCTGTCTGCTGAACCTGAAATTCAATCAAGGTGGCATTGTAGATGATTTTTTTGAAACCGCGTTGTTTTTTTGCCGCCCACACAGTGGGCGCCCGAGCCCATTAATCAGGCTGGCGGTTACGCCCACCGAAATACCTGCCCAAAATGTATGCGCTTTTTTCGTCCCAGTTAGGGAGAAAAATTGAGACAGTCCGAAGTGTGGGGACTGCTAGTGTGCACAATTTGGTACCCACTTGGTAGACAGTTATCGCAAAAGCGTTTTTTCGGCCAGAAAATCGTCGCATTGAACACACTGCTTGAAAATGAGCGATAGGTGTCCAAGCGGTGTAGGCAGCCAGTAGGTACCAAAAAATTAATTATGCATTCAGCAAAACTGAGATTTATTGTAAAGTGAAAAACTGTTTATAAACTGGTTATAAATGTGGCGGTTTTATCACAGTTCCCAGAACCAAATAACCGCTTTGCTCCGCGTGGGTTGTCTGATGATGTTTTTATAACTGAATAATCCATCTAACACCCAATCAATAAGGCGAAAAACAGTAAACGACTTTCTCGAGTGGATAGAGCGCACACCTTTGCATAATTGTCCACAGCAACCGAAAGAATCCAGATGTTTACTATACCTACTAAACATCTAGATGCTGAGGATTCTTCAGATTAAGCAGATGCACTTTTTTATGGTTCACAATATGTGGACATTTGCAGGCTTGATATAAAATTGGTGGCAGTTGAATCGTAGCTTCATCTACATATTAAGGTCTGGAGGATTCCTACCTTGACTTCCTGCCGGTTCCGGATCGCTATCCAGACTTTCAGCTGAAGCCAGATAGGCCGATCCAGGCTGATGTAGAGGTCCGTTGCTGCTGCCCGAAGACGAACAGGATCCGAGGCTGGTTAGGGACACCGGTCGGGACACTTCCGACGAGGAGACCGTGCTATTGGTCATGCCGGTGGAGCTTTCGCTGGGGACCTGCAAACAAGCCAGACTTAGCATCCACAGCCCGTTCTGAGGGAATTTGCATGCTGAATCGTCGCAGATTCGTTCCGAGATAGGCAGGCGAGAACCGCACTTAGTTATGCACACGACAAACACGTTGCCGATGAATATCTTCGGGCATTTGTACATAATTTTCCAATAAGGCATAGATCAGGGCTGTGTTCCGGCCTGTGCTTTGCCTGTGCAGACACTCGCACGCTGGAAGATTTGCCTGCATGGTATTTATATACCGACTGGTATAAATGTTAAGGTCACGGATACCCATTACCATAAGTTCCGTCGAATTTTACTGCAGATGTGACATAATTTTTGGTCAATGGTAGGTGGTGCCATCGTGGGCGTGCAATGCGGCCTACCTTTCTATTCATTTAACCGAGAGCACTTTATTTACTGGCAATCTGCGGCTTAATGGGCGCATGTGTGTGTGTGTGTAAAATCAACTGTTACGACATGGTATTCTAGTAGGTACCAGTGGGACGGCATTATTAATTAGAAATCCATTGGCGCCAAAGAGAATGTGAAATTCGATTATAAATTTGCCTTCAATTAATCGAATTATTCGATAGAGAACTTGGAATTTCTTCGTTTTGTTGGGTGTCAAGCATTGCTCAATTTCAACAATCTTCAATCAGGTTTCTGGCGGTTTGGTGCCAACCTTGAATGAATCCAGTCCTCTGACCCCAATTCCATGAAACTCTTAATGATTATCATTGGATTGTTGATCTGAGGAATGTGTCATCTTTCCCATTAAGTAATGCAACCGATCTTAAATGACTTGATAAGCCGTTTCCTGTGTGATTTCAATAGTCCAAGCGCGTTCCGATCCACTTTCGATTTGCTTAATCTTACGAAAAACGGTTGAAGATCCTGAATTAAATGCAAATTTGATTTAAAAAATCTTGCGGTTTACTTATGTCCGGTAGTCTGTAGTCATTGACAATGAACAAAATAAGAGTATTTTCTTGAGCAGATGCATAGAACCAGATCAATTCAGTGCGCCAAAAACTATCTTTTGGTGGAAGTTCTAGGACCTGGTGCGATTTAGATCGAAAAAGGCCAGAAATAGCGGATTTTTCCTAGATACCATTTCGATAGAACGCCTTCCAAGCTGTGTCTTGGTAAAGGAAAACTGAAGCTCACGTTAGGGCTTTGCCCCTTAGGAGGCGCGCAATACTTGAAAGCCGCATATCTCCAAAAAGCCCAAAATAGCTGGAAAGGCACAATGGCCATTTCCAAAGATCCGAAGAAGGACTGTATTTTATCACTTAGCTTCATTCCATCAATCAATGCCGAACCTTCAAAAATGTACCATCAAAACTGTTAAAATTTAAGGCTTCTGACCCATGAATTCATTTCAACAATGTAACGAAAGTGTTTCTTTCGATCGGAGATTTTAGACGTTTGTGCCTGATTTACACATTTTACCGCAATTCTCTCGAAGTAAGAGAAAAATAAGCAGCAACTAAAAGCGACTTTCGGCACATTTTTAAAGAAATAGGCCGGTTTGGAATAGATGAAGACACTAATCAATCCAGCAGGATTTCAATAGATAGAAGCTGTTCGATAGAGCACCTCAAGAACTACCTTACCCTAACTGGGGCTTTAATATAAATTCCTAACCTTTTACAAGTTAAAAGCAAAAAACTAGTCCAAAAAAGTGAAAAATCTCACCTGCAAATATTTCCCCAAATTCTTCCTGCCGACCGGCGTCCTAGACGCAATGCCCTTATCCGAATGCAAATAGCTGCCCAATGGGATGGCCGAATATCCGTCACTATTCCCCACCCGTTCACTGTTATCACTCGCCAGTCCGTTCACGCGATCACTGCCCGATTCACCAGCACCCGCAGAACCGTCCTGATTAGTCGGCCGTCCATCATCACCATCAACAGAACCACTGGACTGATCACCATTGGTGGAAGCGTAGCGACAGTGTCTATTCCGTTCGCTGGTACCACGCGAAAACAGGTACGACTGATTTTTCGTCATGGTTCTGGTCGTGGTAGAAGTGGTGACGTGCAAGTTGCTGGTGCTGATCACCAGCTCCGAGTCCTGAAGGTTGGACAGCATTTTGTGGACGCCTGGAACCATTGTAAATTGGGGCATTTGAAATGGGTACTAAAAGCGCAACTAAACCGCTCACCTGGTGAAATAATGTCCAAGTTCTCAGTGCTGCGGTTCATTGTGGAATTGCGCTCGGCGCCCCTGAGACTCCTGTAGGCAAACCGGCTTCGCCTCGGGCCCAACGCTTCTTCTGAGCTGAACTTTTTGCTGATCTCCTGCTCGGGAACGTTGCTGAGGATTTTCTGAACGCAGGGCGACAAATGGGCGAACCCTCCCAGCTGATGGGAGCGCTTAGGAGTGGAGGTTCTATGCGGGTCTAGACTAGCGTGTTCTGAGCTCTTCTGATGCAAGTAGGCATCGAATGCGCCCATAATACTCGGCATCAAATCCGGAGACGATCCTGCAAAAAATTGAACGTCATTTATTAGGAAAACACTTCAAAATTTGATGAGAATTTCTTGATTATTACGTGGTTAGCATTAAGAGCCCCACTTTGTAGGTATTGGGTGGGTTTAAGTGGCTGGGAGTTTAAGTTCGTCTGCTTCTCTTTGTCGTTTTGATATTTGCGGTTGTTGCCTTATTAATCAAACACGCGCTCTTATCGGCTGGCTTTATGGCAGCCAAGGAATGTTGAGTAAATACACGCAATTCTTAGTACACCCACTCAATACATTGTGCTTGTGCTCTATTTATGGCCTCATACAGGGCGACTCATTAAGAAAGAAGAAAAGAAAAGAGTTTCCGGATTTCCCATTCTCAATGATTCACCCTATATTTTAATAAATCGTCATTTGTATGCAATGTGCCACAGACACCAAATGCAATCAGCGCCGCTTCAACACATGCTCCTGAAGATAAATAGGGCCATTGTAGATGCCGCGCATAATGAATCCCAAAACCAATTTCCTTTTCATCGCTCATTTTATCGAGATCTGAAAGCCACATAGATTATTAAGAAACCTCATTACGCTCGTGCCGCGAAGAACCAAATTGAATTGTTGCTGGCCAATGACTCAGAAAGGGTTCTAAGGCTCGAAGAACGATTGTCGAGGGTCAACAGCCCAACTGTTTGGTGATTCAATTAGATATTTTAAATGTCATTTACCCTACCTATTAGATGCGGCATGTTGATGGGCCTCGTAGAGGAGTTTTATGGCTTGTCGTTGAGATTGAGATTAATAATGAAGCAACTTGAGTGTGAGTGCGTACCTGTCTAGCGGTGCCACAATCTGGCACTATCGTCGGTTTAAAGTAAACGAGAAATATAAGTTTATTTGTCGATCGGCGCCTGGCGATTTTTTCCAGTCTTGTCGATAATATTCCGTTTTAATTGGTGCTGTGAAGAGAGCGGGTGACAGTCCATAACGAATGTTATTGCCGTTTCCACATAGCGCAATAAAAACCAGCCCTATTAAACGCACTGTATAGATTAAGTTCGCCTGAGTCTAAGTGAATCGTGAGGCGCAGGCTGGCTTCATTTGAATATTCGTTTGTCGTCGAAAAGGCGAAAAAGTGAAAAACCGATAACAAATGTCGGTGTGAAATGTTGACTTTCATATGCATTTTTCACATGACAACAATCAAATCTGGAGCTTGTAGGCTCTTAGCACGGGGCTTCCCTACTTGTTCAAACAAATCGCTCTAAAATTCCGGTACTTTCAAAGAAAGCTTCCATCTTGAGTATAGCTTACAGTGTCCAAGGCACGTCTCATATAGTTCGAAATTTACAAAATGTTTTCCAAAAATGTACTTGCGAGAATTTTCAAAATAATTAAAATAAGTGGAGGTTTTCAACTAAAATTTGAACTTAAGTATAAAAACCACATAACTCCGGTTTTTCTTATACGATTTACAAAATTGAAAAACTAGTTATTGAAGAGGGGAATTCTCTAAAAAAATCCTTCAGGAATTTTCAAAATAATTGTAACAACTTGGGGGTTTTCGATAAAGTTCCTACTTGTGTAGGTAGTATGGTTGTTAAGACCTTCGGCGCATCTCGTATAACTTTCGGAATTGTACTGCAATTTAGAAAATTGTAGTAAATCTTTGCGGGTAAGAGAGTTCTGCAAAAAGTACCCTTAGGAATTTTTCAAATAATCTCAACAACTTGAGATATTGAAATAAAGTTCCTACTTGTGTAAGCATCGTTGTTAAGGTCTAGAGCGCATCTCGTATAACTCCGGTATTTCCTATGCGATTTATGACTTTGAAAAAAGAGTGTGTAGAGAAGAACGTTCTTAACAAAGTGCCCTAAGGGATTTTAAGCGACACTTGAACAACTAGGGATTTTTTAATAAAGTTCCAACTTAGGTACGTACCGCTGTTTGCGTTTAAAGCGCATCTCGTGTAACTCGCGGATTTCTTGTGCAATGTACGAAATTGTAAAAAAACGTTGGGGGTAAAAGGGTTTTCTAAAAAGAGCCCTAAGGAATTTTCAAAAAAAATTCAACAACTTGAGATTTTTAAATAAAGTTCCAACTTGTGTAAGTATCGCTGTTAAGGCCTTGAGCGCATCTCGTATAACTCCGGTGTTTCTTATGCGATTCATGAGTTTGCCAAAAGAGTGAGCGGAGAAAATGGTTTTTCAAAAAGTACCCTTGGGAATTTTCAAAAACCGGGGGTTTTCCCATAAAGTTCCTACTTGCCTAGCTTTGGCTGTTAGGGCCTTGAGCGCATCTCATATAACTCAGGCGTTTTGTAGGCGATTTATAAAATTGGCGAACGAGTTTGCGGGGGAAAAGGCCCTTCAAAAAGTACCCCTAGGAATTTTCAATCAAACTTCAAAAACCAGAGATTTTTTTCAAAAAGGTCCAACCTATGCAGCTATCGCTGTTATAACCAATAGCACCTCGTATAACTCGTCTATTTGGTATACGGAATGCAAAACTGGAAAACCGTTTTAGGCGGAAGACAATTGATCACATGTGGGCTTAGAAATACTCCACATTGTTAAAAAAATAATATTTTTAATAAAGTGAGAATATTTGCGAACAAACAACGTAAGCGTTTGTGACAAATGTTTGAAACCATGGGACAAATTCGTAATCGATCCAGGAACAAAATAAAAAAGCAAAAGCCAAACTGGCTACGGCAATTTGATAATGAAACAGATGTTCAAAATGTGAGTGCAAAGCAAGCAAAATCCCACAACAAGAATGGACTGAGTCAAATGAAAAACATTCGCATTTATCGGTGACCTTAGCGAATGTTAATTGGCAGGCCATAATATGGACGTACGGTTTTGCAATTTGCCATAAACACTGCGTTTTATCGCTGATACACGTATGGCAAAGTTCGAATAATGGAATCGCTTCAAGCCCAAAGGAAATGTTGTTCGCCGCGAAAAAACTGGGTGACAAAAAAATAAACGGTTTTACCTGAAAGATTTTAGTAAAATTTTATCGGTATGGCCCAGATGGTTTTAATGGTTGCCACCTGAATTTCGGGGCTTAATAATTAAGCCTGTTAAAGACCGCAAACTTGATGAAGCTGAAATTAACAGATCAAAAACAACAGGCAATCGGATGCGGTTTTTGTGAAAGCGAGCACTTAGCAATTGATGGGTGGAATTTCTTAAGTGAATTGACTCATTGAAAATGCTAAGAAAAACATGTCAATATTGAAAAAAACTGACTTTCAGTGAAGGATCGTGGAGTGTTTCGCACAGAAAGCGGTCAATAAGTCATTGATCCGAACTATCAAACCTAAACGTGCACGCGCCAAGCACACCTATACATAGATGTTTGGGCTGCACGCTCCAATAAAATCCAAGAAATTAACACATCTGGCAGCTCGGACTGTTCATCATCAACAGCATCAAAGTGCGAAACGAAATTTCGTGGCCGAAGAGGTCGAAATGGACTTGAAGCCATGCATGAACACAATGGCCTGATACCAAGAAAGCTATTTTACTTCTTGGGCACAACGTGCAGTACATGTGCATGGCAGCTTTGGCTTAATTACAGCGGGTGCATTGAGAAAAACAAACAGACACAGTCGTTTGGGCTTTGAGTTGCCAGAAGATGTAAAAAAAGTTATTGCTCCGGTGCCGTTTACACGCAGGGCTGGCCGGAAGTCACACATACAAGAAAAACATCTTCATTGTTAGGAAAATGCGCTCAAAGAAATGAATTGGATCCGGATGTCAAGGAAATAGGGGATGTATTTTCTGCAGTTTACTCAAATTCTCTAAAGAATATTGTAAACACCCCCACGCGCGAGTTTTCTGTCGCAGAATGCGCACTTGTTGGGGACTAATCGAGGAAAGAGCCCAAGGTTTTCCAACCGCTCACTCGGTTATTAGTCGGAATTTTTCAAAAAATATCCGTTCCTTTAGAAGGCAATTAAAATGAGTTGGAGGGCTTTTGAAAATTTTCGAATTGGTTCAAAAGTCAGCGACTTCGTCCTCAAAAGAAGCAAAAATAACCATCGGGAAGGCAAAAGCAACTTCGTCTTCAAATCAACAACAAATTACCTTTTGGATCTCCAGTTCGGTCCGTGTTATACATTCCACCTCGCTAGGGCGCACTCGAATAAACCATCACAGATTACGCGACGAAAAAATCAATTGAAACGCCCTGTATATGGGCGTCAAGGTCGGCAAAGAACGACCGCGTACTGCTGCCGTACCACCACCAAAGATCGGTTTTGTTCGACTGAATTTGTTTGATGTTTGCTCGGATTAGCCGGCACTACGAAGAGCACGGCAACGCCGCACATAGCAGCATTGTGGACTATCGAGACAATGTTGAGTGGGTCCCTTGACACTTTGGTACCCATGGGGTTCCTGTCAAAAGTTTTCATTGAAATTTCAACATTGGAAAACTTCTTTCAGGGAAAAAATTGCAGAGAAATTTTGAAGTCTGAATTTTAATTTTTTTGTTTTACCTTAAAGAACAGTTTAAATTAAGCAATTTAAGCTAAAAATTTCCTGGATGGTCCATAAGTTAAGCCGAAAAGCACTCACAAACTTTAAGGTAAATCACCATTTTCAGGCTAAATTGAGAGCGCTGATGCCAAACTGCGCAAAACGTTTCAAGTCGGTTTAGATTATTTCAATCTTTTCAGGTTATACATTGTTACCTTTTGGGTATTTATTTAAGTTTCACTCACAAAATCACTTCAGCCATGCTAACACACACTAATTCAAAACTATCCTAAAGAAAAACAACGCAAAAATGCGTGACAACACCGCATTACACGATTTAGCAGCAAATTGCACCGGAGAATCTCACTTTTGTACATAAATAAATCGTTTTGGAAAAGCGAATTTCAAAAGTTTGTAAGTGTTTTTGACTTGATTTATTGAAAACATGTTGTCTGGCTCTTGTAAATCTCTATCTGTTTTATTGAAAAAGTTGATAGAAAAACCGTTGCACAGCCGACATTTTCAAGTGTATT